GACTTGGGACACCCCGGCTGTAAAAGGACGTTGGGATAATAGCGGAGATCTGGTATCCCCCAAGCTTGAGAGATGTGCAGAAGGCTAGCTTCCTTTGTTTTGTGTGTGATTATTTCATTTGTTATTGTTACCACTTTTTAAATTTGCTATAGAGCACGTGCACTCACCAGAGAGAGAAAGTGAGAAAGCAAACCACCGAGTCTGGGACTCTAGCCATGGTCAATCATGGAAGTCCAGCGCCTTACTCACCATGCCATCTGCTGGCCCCAGTTTTCCTTGTTTTTAAACGATATGTATACTCGATGTATACCAGTGATGTACATAACAAAGAAAAGGCCTCCTCTACATTGTATTCACAAGTGGACATACAAACATTTTCAAATACATAAATAATGACTGGCTGTGCATTTTTTAAAATGTTACTATTTTAAATTTTTTTCTATACATGCACTCACCAGCAAGAGACAGAGAGAGGGACAGTGAGCAAGCAAGGCACCAGGTTCAAGACTCAGATTGCAATAAGCCGATGTAGGAGTCCAGCGTCTTAACCACTGCCGTGGTGCATTTTTCCTCATCCTCCTGCCAAAAACTGACACAGGTAAACAGGCAAAAGGGAGTTCCTAGACTGAAAAAATAGAAAATGACAACTTTTTTTTTAGGTTTTTACCATAGAGTGTGGACAGATAGAGGAAATTGTCCCCTCCTCCCGCCCCCCATGGAGGAAGGCTACGTTCTGGGTACCCAAGCACACACATACCTGGTATGATTTTCAAGTCCAGGACTGGAACCAGATGGATCTCCACCACCTTAACCACCACATTACCTGCTGGCCCTGAAAAAGTGATTTTTAAAAAGATTTTTGCCATAAGGTACAAGCTTTCTCAAGAGAAAGAGGAAATGAAAAACCACCCCCTCCCCATGAGGATTGCCATTCCTCAACCCTTTCTCCTCCAATCTCCTCTAGGGATTTTGGGCACACACACATACAGTGTGATTTTCAAGCCAAGACTAGAAAAGCGCTGTTGGCCAGATGGGGTTCAGGTGACTTAACCTGCAAGCCACCTGCTGGCCTAAGTTATTTACTTTTTTTCACTATTATTATTCATTCATTTATTTTAATTTGACCAGAGAGACACACAGAGAGAGAAGAAAAGTTAGAAAGCAAGCCACCAGTCTAGGACTTGAACTGTGGTTGACCATATGGAAGTGTCCAGCGCCTAAACCATCTGCTGGTCCCCCAAGTTATTTACTTTAAAAAAAAAAAACTATTTTATTTAACTTTATTTATTTATTTATTTAAATTTGACTAGAGAAGGACCGAGTGAGAGAAAGAGAGAAGGAAAGTGAGGGTGCAAGCTGCCAGGTCCGGGACTCTAACCAGGGTCGGCTATGTAGGAGTACAACACCCTTAACCATCACGCCACCTGCCGGCCCCCCAAGTTACTTTTTGATTGTGAAAATAAAAACTTACCAACGGATAGCGTGATGGTTACGTCCCTGGACTGCCACATGGACACTCTCAGTACAAGTCGTGGACCCAGAAGCTTGAAACTCAACACCAGGTGCATGTATATGCATCCCCAAAATTTCAGAAGGAGAAGGGATTTTGGTGTGGTCATCCACCTGGGGGGAGATTTTTTCACTTCCTGTCTCCCTGTCTCTCTCTGGTGAGCACGCTTGACCTATAGCAAAAATCCCTCTTAAAAAAAAAAAAAAGGAGGGTCCAGCAGATAATGTAATAGTTACATTGCTAGACTCCCCATGTAGTAGACCACATTCAAGTCCCAGACCCAGCAGCTTGAAACTGCATGCAGGGCGCATGTGCATGCGTACTCAAAATCCTGAGGAGAATGAGGGAGAAGGGATTACAGTGTGGCCATCCCTTCTAGGGGATGATTTCTTGATTTCTGTTTCGGAGTCTCTCTGTCTCTCG